GATTAGAAAATGTGACAACTAATATGGTATTATACTTTGTCTTGTTATATGTAGAGTTAAATGTAAAAGTAATAGGATTTTCTTTTATTATTTGATTTCCACTTGAAGTCCATGAAAAGCCTTCCGTCTTCTGTCAGCTTTTGTCCATAAAAGGAAACTGGATTGTCTTTTATCATAGGTATCTGTTGGCATTGGTTTCATCACATATTTTAAATTATTTAGCATAATACATCATAGTGGTATCTTTAAAAGCATGTACTAGCAATATAGGTTCGTCGTACCGCAATATACCACCCGGTATGGGTGGTACATACTAGTTTGATTGGAGACTAATACGGACGGTATATATCGGTTTGTTGGTATACCCCACTATATCATGTGTCAATACATTGGTACGTATTGTACCGATGGCCGGTCGGTATACCTATACAAAGCAATAAGGTGAACCATGCTGCCATTGACAACAAGCCATAATGTCCACCATATAGCGTTTGCTGTGTGGATATATATTTTTTTCATGAAGTTCTGTTTAGAGCAATATCACTAGTCATACTAAGGGTAACCAAATCTCTTTTTGATGCATCTAAGAAAGTTTTCTTAGTAAAGTTTTCTAAAATCTCCCTCTACCTCTGATCATGCCACCAATCTTAATCAACTTACCTGTCCTTTCTATGCATTTATAGGTCTCTTTGAGACATGTTCATCAGTCTTAAACAAATTTCTCTCATTTTCTGTATATTAAAATTGTTCGTGAATATAAACACTTCATATTCTATTTTTGTATTAATTTCGTGTCCATTTCAACATCCTCATCTCAACTATGCTACTTTTTTGTACATATTTTCTAACTGCCCAAAATTCTGATTCATAAAAAATGGTTGATCTTAATATTATCTTATTTAGTTTTCATTTTAGTTTAAGTGCATGATGAATACACTTGAACAAACGTAGTAATGCCCTATGATGTAGCTACTTAATCATGCACAAACTTACTCAGGACTAGCCATGAGCACTGATAAATACACTTGAACATTTTTGTTTCAACTACTTTCATTTGTATCAAGGAATGTGTTTCCATTCAGTTCTAAAAGGGAATCTTATGCAGAAGAAAGTATATAGGATCAAGTACTTGGTTCAGACTGATCTTGTTCCAATCCATTCAGGTGTTCTTTGTCAAGTTTCTTATTCCCTTGTGGTGGAAGTGAAACTTTTGTTAGGACACTAAATTATGTGACTCTTTTTCTGCTTGAATGACTCTCAGTTCTTTAATATTAATTATCCAAGTCTTCTCTGTTTATGTTTTATGTTTGTCTTTCTTATATTTCTTGTATCTTGAAGGGTGTTTTGGTCCGGAGAGTTGAACCCACTTCTCCAGCTAATGATGTTCTCAAGGAGGTATCCTTTGTTAGAAAATGGTACCTTTCATCCCAGTTGTTATGTAATACCTGCACCGGTTATAATGCAATTGCTGTGTGTCTCCAGGGAGACGTGATTGTAAGCTTTGATGGTGTTCAAGTGGGATCAGAAGGAACTGTCCCATTCCGATCCACAGAGCGGATTGCCTTTCGCTATTTAATAAGTCAAAAGTAAAGACTTAATTTCTTTTATAATTGTAGATATAAATGACCAAAACTATCACAGTAGGTTTTTTTATTCTGTTGTCTTTCATGCTTTACCTGTTTGGCTTGTCCATACACCTGACAATTAGAACACTGGTCAAATATGCCTATTTAATTTTGGACACTGTTCTGCAGTTTTGACATTACTTCTTCTTTAACTCTCTTTTTCTTTTCCAAGGAATCTGTGGTCACTTATGTTACTCAACGAGTATACCTGCTAGGCATGATGTAATAATGACTGAAGTAAATTGATGTTTTGGTTATCAGGTTTTCTGGTGATGTTGCAGAACTTGGGATCATCCGCGATGGAACCTACATGAAAGTTCGGACTGTCTTGCAACCTCGGGTGCACTTAGTAAGTAATTAGAGTTTTGCATTCAAAGCCTATGGCCAACACTTATTAATAACCTAACTTTTCATGCAAAGGTGCCATTCCACATTGAAGGAGGACAACCTTCGTATCTGATAATCGCAGGCCTTGTATTCACTCCTCTCTCAGAGCCTCTGATAGAGTAAGTTACCTGTAGTGAAAATTCTCTGTTTTATTAATTCGCTTTGGTTTTGTTGGATGCTGATATTGATCAACATATCTGATTCATGTGACAGAGAGGAGTGTGAAGACTCAATCGGGGTAAGTTTATGAAGTTGGCTGTTGCTTTTGCACCCTGTTTAGTCTTTCATGTGAACTAATTATATATATTTATCTTTTGTTGTCAGCTTAAATTACTAGCAAAGGCTCGTTATTCTTTAGCGAGATTCAAAGGCGAAGAAATTGTAATATTATCACAGGTTAGTTAATGCTCTTCTTGATGTTCTTTGCTAAAAATGTGAAGTTTGTTGACATGGGAAAGAAATAATCAGATGAAATCTGGAGGATGTATATATTATGAGGGATGCTCTCCACATAGATTATATCGAGTTACTATAACTTTTATGGACACAAACAGAATCTGAAAGAACAGTTTGTTGTTTAGGTACAAAAGTTTGATTATTCAGAATAGGTCATATAGCATGCATAACTTGAAGCAGACTTTAAAAACAAGTGGACCAACATTTCTGCTGACCTTATTGTCATGTCAGACTCAACTTGCTTTATGAGCTTCTTGTAGATGGAGTCAAAGTGCTAATATGTAGGACTTCTAACATATGGCTATTTTCTTAATCTAGCTGGCAGGATATTAAATGTGTGCATCCTAAAATTCGAGTTGGAAAAACTATTCGAAATTCTGGTCTTTATATCAAAATGATATCCATCATCATCCACATGTATGTTCCCTCATTCATTCATTTCTTTTCTTCCTTTTATAGGTTTTAGCTAATGAAGTGAACATAGGATATGAGGATATGGGCACCCAACAGGTAAATGTCCTGCAATTGCATGTCTGATTAATTATCATATTAATTTATGGAAGCCTGAATATGCTAATTACTTTTTATAGGTGATGAAATTCAATGGAACTCCAATAAAAAACATCCGACATCTGGCTCATCTTGTTGACAGTGAGTTTTCTTTTTTCCCTGTGATTACATTCAACAAGTTAATACAATGTCCTGCCGCCTCCGTTATCATTTTGTGTACTGTGTAGCTTGCAAAGACAAGTACTTGATATTTGAATTTGAAGACAATTTCCTTGCTGTTTTGGAACGAGAGGCTGCTGCTGCCGCCTCACCATTTGTTCTAAAAGACTACGGAATTCCATGCGAAAGATCATCTGATTTGCTCGAACCATTTATTGACTTGGAGGAAGACAAACAAATACTGAATCAAGATATCGGGGACAGCCCTGTGTCAAATTTTGAGATTGGATTTGACGGCCTCCTATGGGCATGAAATGAAATGATTCTACAATTTCCAGAAAATCCCTACTGGCCGCTCAGCAATTGAGATATCGAAGAGCAGGAGAAATTGCCAGGTGCCTACAACATCCCATGCTAATTGTTTGAGATCCTCCTGATGATGGAATTTGTGTCACCCATTTGTCATTACCAAGAACTTCTGGAACACAAGGGCTTGAAGAATTTGTTGCAGCTTGCCCTAGGAAGGTGTCTAAGGTTGCTGCAATTGGCAATTTTCTTTCATGCATCTCGATAAGAGAACATTTACTGTTTTTTTTATCTCTTGCTACTGATGATTCAATGAGAAAATTTGATGTTGTTGGTACATTTTGTGCATTAAAGCGACTGTTTGGCTGAACATGATCGAACCTTGTGACAAGGAGATTACAGCATAGTCCACTTGAGTCCGTGGAGGATGAATAGAATGCTTTGTGTGCCAACATTTTTTTGTTTCTTGCGTCAAGATTCGTGCATAGCCGCTTAGTGGTCTGATGGTTGTCCCTTCTCGATCTAAGGAGGTAATGAAAATTTAGTAAGGGGCTTGCGATGGGTGGGTTGGATGATTGCCACGTAATCAGAGGTTCTTTCTCGACCTCCCAAATAAATAAATTTTTATTATATTAAAAATATTAAAATTATGTACATGACATGTACATAACCTTCGCATGTGGACTTGAACTAAAGACGTATAAAAATACACTAACTAATACGATGCCCCTATTAAATACTTATTAAATATTTTGTTTGCGTTTTATTTTATTTTTTATGAATGTCTCTCTTTTATTTTTATTTTTTTCTAGTTCTCTCTTTAGAGTTGATTTTTTATATGAATCAAATTAATAAAAAAATAAAATTATAAATTATTGAAATTATAAATTCTCTTTTGAAACTTATAGAAACCCATAACTCAAGTTCTTGTTTTAAATAATAATATTTATGTATATATAAATTTAAAAAATTAATATTTTGATTGTGTGAGTATTATTTGGTTTTAAAAAATTAAGCTTTAACTGAGTACATTGTTTCAAAAAAGAATGTGACCTTAAGTTTTTTTATTGGTGATGATAAGACTCTTAAGGTTATCTTTTTTTCAGAGACTTTTAGGTAGTTTTGTTTTCTTTCCTCAAAATTTTTAGTTTATTTTATGATTATATTAATATTTTGAAATGTTGTATGTTGATATATTGTATTAAATTAAAATATGTAAAATATAAATATCTGAAAATTATTTTGTATGTATTTTAAATTATTTTATTTTTTTAAATAATAATTTCATGTTAAAATTTAGAATTTATTATTTCTTAAATTTATATTATTTGTTTTTTAATTAAATAATTCATTTGAGATGGCTTGCTGAACTAACCATCAACAAAAATAATGATAAGATAGAAGGAAAAAATATTAAAAATACACGTGTATGGTTGGATTTAGAAGCATCATCTTACGTGGCAAACACCCAAGCCACTCAACCTTATTCCAAGTCACACGCAGTTGCGTTTCCCGTTTCCGGCAGCCGCGTTTCACCCTTAATTAATATCCAGCCTCTCCGCGACTCTCTTTTCCTTCCCGAGCGATCGTTGATTTCCCCCAAGAATCCATCTCTCCTTCACCTCTCCGCTCCCCGAAAACATCGATTCTTGCACGATTCGCCATCCGTTATGCGCCCCTTTCTTCGGGGACCGTAAGTTTTACTTCTCGTCGTCTTCTGATATCCAACAACGAATTGGAGAAGCCGCGAAGGAGGCTCGGTTCGTGCGGGAATTTTGTCGCTTAGGGTTTCGAATCCTTCGAAGGTCATGGGACGATGGCTGTTGGTCAAGGTCTTGGTTTTGATCGGATTATTCGTCGTTTCAGGAGGAAGAGGTAATCATGCTCCGTATACCGATCCTGAATTTCTTATCCCCGAGATTAGGATATCTTCGAAAGCGAAAAGTTCCTGCAAGAACCATGGCGGAATTTACATCTCTGCATGGGTTCATTTGCTTTGTGGCAAGAAAGTTTTTGTTTTGTGCCTGAAAAGAAGCAGATTGTGGAACATGCGAATCTTGATGAATGATAAATGCTTTTTGTATAGGGTTCCTAAGTTCTTGATCCTTTTTATCTATGGTGTACAGTAATTAAGATGAAGCATGAGGTTGAAGGCCCTGTCTACAATCAAACTATCGTCAAGATTCTCGTCGAATATGCCTCTGCTGTGAGTCTGACCTCACCCTGCACTGGTTGACAATTCATTAATCGTTATTGTGGCTGAGGATCTTGATACAAGCGCAACTTGCATTTACTTGTTTTGAGAATGGCTTCATATCAAACTTTTTCCTTCTTAATCAGATTACGCACTTTTATTCCCTTTACAACATCAAAGTTGGTCTTCACAAGAATCGGTTTCTTTATATTTGGTTGGAGAAAAACATTACTCTGTCCATCTCTCTGCATGTTGTAGGTCTATATGACAGATTTAACCGAACTTTTTACATGGACTTGCTCAAGATGTAATGGTCTGACAAAGGTATGAAAGTTTTCAGGGATTCAAATCAATGTATCTGTGAATGTTAAGGGTGGTGTCCTTTTCCAATAATTTGACTGGAATGGATCCTCAAATCCTGGATGCCTTTGTCTTGTTTCAGGGATTCGAGATGATAGAGCTTATTGTTGATGTCCAGAACTGTTTACAGGTCCAATTCTTTTTTTCGTCTCTATTTTGACCAGTTTCCGTGATTGTCAGCTTAATGCATCTCCTTAAGTTCCAAGACTTTTGTGTTTGAACTATTTATGCAGGCATTTGTTGGAGTTTCTCCTGATCTGAATTCAATTATTATTGCTTTCAGAGGCACACAAGAACACAGGTGAAGCAAGAAAAAACCTTTTACTATATGTATATGACAGCAATAACGAAAATGTGTGAGCAGAAATTCTTGGACCTGGAACTAGCAGTATTGATGCAGCTTAAGGGCAATTGTAATATTAGTTGCCTTTAATTAAAGAATGCAGCTGTCAAACTATACATATGGTAGCCAAGCTAATAAACTGTACCAACTTGTCTAACGACTAGGATGCCTAGATTTAGTTCCAGTGAAACTTGGTACCCAAATATGGAAGCAGGTCATAAAATCAAGAAACTAGAATTTACTACTGAGACCCTTACTATTTCCACCCACATGTACTTTTCGTTTATGTGAATGTTCTGATTCCTAGAATATGCATTTTGATTGATTTCTAGCAGACAATTTACTTGTCATTTTTCATGCCTTTGTTGCCATGTGCCTAATTGGTATGCATTGCATGTCTCTGGTGGACACGTGGTACAATCAAGCTCTTACCTTGGATATTGAATTTGAAATTTGAAATCATAATTGCCATAAACTGGTGTCTATTTAACATGTACATAGCCACAAGCATCTTGGTTTATAAACTAATAACACAAGCTAAATAATCGTAGTATTGCATCGGCTTTGTACTGCAATTAGGACTTAGAATGAGTTGCTGCATTCCGAATCAGAAGCTTGTGTCATGGTGATTAATTCAGAACAAGAATTCCTTGCCATCATCTTGTCTTGCCTGCACTTCATGCTTCCAAACCTTGTTGTATATCGAAGATATAGTTTGGTATTAACTAGAAATTTACACATAATACTGTCTCATCATAACAAATTAATTATCTTTACAAATTTTTAGTGAAATATTGGAATTAATTAGCTCGTCTGTAATACGTACCATGGCATGCATAAAATAGATGTGCTCTATTATTGGTTTCCAACTTGTTTTTTGAGGTTAATGTATTTCTTATTTAAGTTAAAATTTTAACATTTTGAGTTTGCAATAAATCTTTTGTTATCTTCTGCATGGTCAGTGTTATATCTGTTTTAAGGCAATGGTCATTGGGTGGTTATTAGTTTCCTTTTCAAGATCCATAATTTCATACAGTTGCCGCTTGGTTTTCTTTTTTCCCACTTTCTGTCTGTTTTGTGGATCCCTGTATATGAATGCCAGTTTACTAGTAATTCCAAACAAATTTTGTTAACTATTATTACTAATTCATGGCAAACATTTTTATATTTTATTTATTGTGTGATAATTTTTTGATTTGTCTCTATATCTGATGGCAAAAATTAGATGTCTACATAGTTTTCTGAAATGCCTGCATATCTGTCTATGAATGGACCAATTGTCTTGCTATATCTTGACAGCATATGTAATTGGATTGAAGACTTGTTCTGGAAGCAGCTGGATCTTAACTACCCTGGCATGCCAGATGCAATGGTCTGTGAACTTCTTACTTCTTAGAAAGAATTTATTGACAGAATGAACATATTTGAACTTAATAATATGCTTTGTTTGTGTTGTTATAGGTGCACCATGGGTTTTATTCTGCTTACCATAACACTACACTGCGTCATGGGATCCTAAATGCTGTTCAAAGGGCTAGGGAGGCATATGGAAACATCCACATTTTCGTTACAGGGCATTCAATGGGAGGGGCTCTAGCTTCCTTTTGTGCACTTGATCTTACTGTAATGTTCGTCAACTTTATGTTTTTATTTTGTTTATGTTGATCGACACTTTTGTGCTGATTTTTCCTTCACTTATCATGGAGACTGATTATCTGATTGACCTAAATACTAGAAGTACACATTATCTACCAACACCTTTATCTGCTTTTTTATATTTAGGTACATAGGAGTCTTATCTGCCAAGGATTAAAAAAAAAGTAAGACTATGATATACTAACTAGAGCAGTAATTATCTGGGTTAAGTTAGAAGGGTTGGTTGCTGCTCATTGTGGGTCAGCATGGTTTCATCCTGTTGCATAAAAAATTCTAAATATACATTCAACCGTACCACAATATTCTATTTTGTATTATGTAGATCTTTTTAAAAATTCTATTTCATCTAATCCGAAACAGATTAGCTATGTAAAAGTACTCCGATCCTTAACATCGTCTATGTAAAATTTCAGCACCTGAGTTGTACGGAATTCATTTTGCCTTTATTGTTTTATTAATTTTTGATTTGTTGCCTTTTTGCTTAGAGGGTGAACATTGACACTACGGCAAAGTCTGTCCAGCTCATGCAGTCTGTCTGTCTTTTAAATTGAGATTGTATTAACAAAATTAACACTGTAGATTATTTCGTTGATTTTTTTTTTCTTGAAAGGCCTGTAAACAATATTCATGCCATCTATGATTATTTCTTTTCCTCTACATTTGTAGTTAAATTTGGACCTATTTTATGATTCTATTTCATGGATGTGACATGGAATTTTTGGCTATTGTTAGATTATGTGTAATTCAATTATGACACTGCCATCATTACTTCTTGGAATGATGTATAAGGAACATAATTTTGTTATAGATGCCATGCAATTGCAATTTTTTCATCATTCTTAGAATGTATAAGGAACATAATTTTGTTATCTCCCTGTAGATTAAACATGGAATAGAAGACATTCAGCTCGTGACATTTGGACAGCCTCGTATAGGCAATGCAGCTTTTTCCAATTATTTCATCAGACATGTACCACATACAGTTCGTGTGACTCATGCAAATGACATTGTGCCACACTTACCGCCATATTATTCCCATTTTCAACGAAAGACATACCATCACTTTGCAAGAGAGGTAACAACTGTCCTTAAATTTGTGCTTGTAGAGCTTGTAAACTGTAGCTAAAACATGATTTTATACTTCAACCTGAAGAAAACACAGAGAGCTCTTTGAATGTCAGCTGCTAGTTTGAATGTTGCCTCCAATTGTGGTCCGTGACCTTATGCCAATTTATTTCATAGTCGTTACATAGATCAATGAGTCATCAATCCCCACAATGAATTGTTTGCTTCTGTAGCAACAGAAACTAGTCAATTACATTCCCCGATTCTATTTTACCTTTCAAGGAGTGGTGTATATGTTTTGCATTACAGCTACCTATTACATGGATCATAGGTATGGTTGTGCAACTTATCAGGGTCAGGTTGGGTCGAAGATCAATTCATCCAACATGTGAAGAGCCTTTCTTTGCAGCTTGGTTACTTTGGGCTAAACAAATTCAGGCTTCTGGCTTGATGCCTTGATCAGAAATACTAAATTGATTCTTGGGTTTATGTACTATTTCCTTGAAAGTCTTTTCCATGGAAATAGTAATTAAAAAGGCTTGTGTTTAACTGGGTCTAAACCCTGCTATAGAACTGTGGTCTATCGCCAAATATTATTAGACCAGTGGATAGACTAATTAAAGCCTCATTAAATTGATTATAGAATTCTCTATTTGGATCTGTTCCAAGTGGATCCCTCTCCGTTCCAATTCTGATTCGCTTACAACCTTAATCAGGATAATCACTTGTTAAAAAATTCTAGTTAAATGTGATTCTTTGTTACATTGTTAAAAAGGCAGCATGTTACATTCCAAAAAGAATTTCAGGTTTGGCTCCAAGACATTGAAGTAGAAAGCCTTGTATACTCAGTTGAGAAGATCTGTGATGGATCTGGAGAAGACCCTTCTTGTAGCAGGTATATTTGAATTCTTGTACCAATTTTGATTTAATTTAAAAAGACTACCGTTGCCTCTCTGTTCCGATGCTTACAACAATTCTTCCTTGACAGATCTGTTTCCGGGAACAGCATAGCGGACCATCTCAAATATTATGACATCGATTTACAGGCTGATTCTTTGGGATCTTGCAAAATCGTTATGAATACTAGCACCACACGGTACCATGTAGATGACAGTGGTAATATTATGCTATCAAAGGATCATCTTTCTCCATCATTTGTTGAACTTAATTCTCTTGTACTATAAATACAAAGTGGCAGTTCTGTGTCGTGATCCTCTCTTTATTTTGAGGATGAAATGCTTGTATATATATCGTATATGGTGTAATTTCTTCTTTTTCTTTTCCTATTGATTCAAGAATGTATATATGCACACATCCTAAAAATTAATTGTTCTTGATTGAATAAATTCTCTCCATTATTTGCTCGTATATGCTTACCAGTTGTGCGTACCGACTAGGTCATGTTTTTCCTTTTCATGCCATTGTGTACTTGCCTTTATTTGATTGTTCCAAAGCTTGCTTCGAGTAATGCAGGTTCAATCGAGAGGTTTGTTTCTGCAGCGTTTGTGCTTGATAATGAATGCCAATTGTTGATTGTTTGTTCCATCTTTTTCTCCTTTTTATCTTCCAGCTGTAATTTCAGACAAACTTGTGATGGTTTGCATTTTTCGAACAAACTTAACATGATTTTGATGCTGTGTTCTTAGCTAGTTTTCCACATGGATTCTGCAAGAAAGTTGCATGTCTTTGTTTCACCAATCACCTACCTTCACACACTATCAATGGAGTCTTGATCATGCCAAAATACACTCTAATCATCAGAGAAAGTCAACAAGTATGGCACATGTATTTTATAGATGAACAATGTAAGAAAGTGTTTGATGAATTTACCACCTACACAAAGTAGTCCTCCATGACTCGATGACTTCAAATGGATTAGACCATCCAAGCAAGAGCACCATGTCTTGATCGGGTGGCATCCATCGGTTTGCTTCGCGGTGTAGATTTGTCATTCCATGCCAACTACATATCCCAATTCATTGCAAGAGATAATGAGAGTATCTTCCTCACAGTGAGTGCATGGAATTGGATACAAGCTTCTGCAACCTTTGTCTTAATTAGAGCCTGGTATTGGTCATGTTGCATAAGGATACCTTCACACACAATACAAAAAAAAGATCCAAAACTTACCATGTGGAAATGGATTCTCTTCAGGGGCCACATTTGTCTCTTCAAGTTCTCAAAGGTCACTATCAGTTTCAATTAGCATCAGAACAGAAAGAAGGGCCACCTAGAAGAAAGGGGCATGCCCAAGCCTAAATCTATGTAATAAACATATGTTTCTAATTACAATAGGAAGAAGAAAACAAGACACATAGCAGTGTCCTCAAAGCTAATTTGTGCATTTCAGAAACAAAGAAGAGCCATTGAGAAATAAAACTTCCTTTAATCAAGTGTATGATACTGTAAGTGGCAAGAATGCACATTACCAATTTCTTCTCCTAGCATAAATATCCAAATATTAACTTCAAATGCACTGCAAATAGTTCTTTAAAGCACTTAAACCATTATGTTCCGAGAATTGAATGCTCGAATTTAAGAGCGATCGCTATAAGCATCTGGATAGACGAGCTTTTATCTGGATGCATCTTATATATCTGAATTATGAATCAACTGCTTGTTAGAGATTCCAAATAACAATTTGCATTTCAACAAGATGCTCCATCTTGCTGATATTGAACCTGAAATCAGAAAACCTAGCATGAGGCAAATCTCATCTGTGTGAAGAGGAAGATGCATAAGAATACCATGAAACTCATTCTGCTTTTCTACCTGATTTGGTGACATGAAGGCAAGTGATATGAGGTGCATTTAACCCCAGGTTTACATGCATATTATTCACTGACTGCTAGTACAGAGAACTCTCTGCATTATACAACAATCAGATGAAGAAAATGAATATGTTGCAGCATCAAAAATATCGTTGCCGACGTGGTGATCTGCAGATGAAGTAAAATGAATACAAGCAACATTGGTGGCTCGGTTTCCACTTGGGACCTTTTGATCCTGCCAAAAGAGTAGAGAAAGGATAAGCCTGTGAGGCAATGTGGAACATGTCCTTCGATGTTATATATGGTGCAGCCTTAAGGTTCTGCAGTCCCCACTAGCAATTGGAATCAACTCTCCCTTCACAGAGGATGACGTCTCCACTGAAATGCACCTGATTCTCCATGTCTCACTGCAGCACCACACTGCTTGTTTCTTTCATATGGATGTGGTATCATGATTCTTTTTTCATGGACCAGCAATCGATGGATAATTTTGGACAGTGTAAAGAAGCTTGACCCAAAGAGATGCCACAGGAGAGACTCAGTGGTATGTTCATATCTATATCCATAATTTGCAAGTCTTCTCTTGTCTATCCACCATGATATGTAGCATGAATCTACCATCCAGATCATAGATAAACAATGTAACTGAAGCAGATAAAGGCTGATCATGAGCTGGATACCTATGTGACAAATCAGACTAAAACTGATATCGATGCTCTTTGACTTTCTGAGGCAATTTACAGTTTCACTGCTGAAGGACAGAAAAATCTGTGTTCTGCTATTGACTTGATTGGAGTGAAGATTAAGTGGGTTCAGTTTGTTCTCCACTTTGTCCATCAACATTGTGAGGCTATTCGAGCCATACTCTCTGCAAACTGCTAAAAACTTCAAGCTCTTGCAATGGCAACTCAGTACATGTTTCAGTGTCTTGAAACTTCTCGGTTTTTCTCAGACTTTAGAAATGAGAATCTGATGGAAGAAGTCAGCATCTCATGCTGGCCTACTCATCCAAGAGCGGACTTGGACTTTTCAAAACTGCAGAGAACTTCTGGCGTCAAAAAATTGGTAGCACGACAGCCTCCCAGATATTCCATAGTGCACAGCGCATCTGTGACCACAGCCAGGAAGAAATCTGACATTATCCAAATCACAAAATAGTACCAAGTGGAATACACAACTGAAGTGAATGACAACGAGGGTCACCGTCCATGCCATGATAAGAGAGTGCTCCAGGCATGCAGACCATATCCAAAGGAACATATGCTCCCTTTTGGCTGCAATCCTTGTAGTGTTGTGAAACAACGATCTTTTTGGCTCTATATAAGCAAGCCACACAGGAGGAGAGGAAGACCAATACATACCAGGTCTTAAGCATTTAGTTTGGCTCTTCAGCAACCACATCCCTTGATCAAGGACTTGAGATCCACATATCAGTTGCATTTTCTTGGTGAGATAAAATGGACAAGGTGATGAAGATGGCATCACAACGAGCAGTGGTAGTCTTCAGCTTGAGCTCATGCTGCATGTGCCATACTGTTTTGAGCCTCTTCCATGACCTTGGTGTCAATGCCACCATCCATGAGCTCGACGAGGACCCAAGGGGGAGAGAGATGGAGAGGGCTCTTGCCAGGCTTGTGGGGCGTAATCCGCCGGTGCCAGTAGTATTCATTGGCGGCAAGCTGGTTGGATCCACAGACAGGATCATGTCACTGCACCTTGGTGGTAAACTGGTCCCTCTTCTTCGTGAGGCAGGTGCTCTTTGGGTATAGATAGTGAATTCTGCACTCTGATAAGAATCAGCTATATATGAGAAGTAGACAAAAAGATTATCTAATACGAAATGCGATGTGTGAAAATAAACTATAGAGTATGACTTTATGTGTACAAACTCGTTACAGATCATACACCATGTACCTTTGACACTATAATGAATATTGGTTAAGAGTTCTCTTAGAGAGTGGTTCTTCTTTCTTCTGCATTGTGCTTGTGAGCCTGAGTTGTAAATAACTAAGTTGCCATATGACCACAAAACTTTTGATATCAGACCCAATAGAGGGAGATGGTGGATCCTTTAAAGCAAAAACTGATGCCCATTTGACTTCATGAATTCTGCAATCTAACAACACAGAATCAAGTACACGTTAGTATATTTCTTGAATATTACTATTTGCAACCCCTCTTTACAATTTACAATCCCCTTTTTAAAATTTTTAATATTTTTAAACTGTCCCTTTGCAAATGGAATTAAATACCCTTTTTTCCTCCTCGTCTTCTCCTTCTTCCTTCTCCTCCTCTTCTTCTTCTTCCCTCTTCTCCTCTTCTTCTTCCTCCTCCTCCTCGGAGGATTGTCATGGACTTAGCTCTAATTGCCTAAGTCGTGAGGCACCTCGTGATGCACCCTTGTGGCAAAGTCATAGACTTAGCTGAAGTTGCCTAAGTCGCGGAGCACCCTTGCACCAACTTCTCGGACTTAGCTGGAATTGCCTAAGTCAAGAGGTGTCCTTGCGACATATGCATCCACAAACAACTGCTCACCGGGTGTCGGCCGCGAAGGCAAGTTTCTGTCAAGTTAATATGTGAACTTGTGAAGATTGTTCAATGCCCGACACTACCCCGAAGTCCCATCCCCCATGGTGCCACTCGGGGGGTTCCAGGGTGCTGAGATGGCTGACGTTTCACGTGAGGCTATGGTCTGCAGAAAATAGGCCGTGACACGTAAAAACAGAACCATTTTGGGGCAGTTTGGCCTGACGCGACGAGCGGTCGCACTATAACGCTGCGAACTATCGTTGCTTGCATTTTCCAAACAAAAACACAAAACCAAGGCAAAATATATTAACATGTATCTGTACAAGCATGCAAAAGCAATGAACGGTTCGTTGAACGAAGTTGTTGCAGGTGCACGACGACCATTCATGACATTCTCCCCCACTTAAACTATCGACGCCCTCGTCGACGCGTGTTTGAAGGCTTTGATAGCTTTCTTCTTCATGTTATAGGGCGTCTTTTGGCTCCTAACTAGCTTCGGTCCGAGGAAGCTTTTGCCACTTCACCGAGTACTCGGTCTGCTCAGCTCTGTTGGGTAGCTTCGTCTTGCGATATGCTAAAATAGTTTCAACTCGGTTTTTATAGGAGGCTCTGGTGGGCAATAGCCGAGTTGGAACACTTAGAGAAGTATCTTGCGGATCTGAGTGGTAGGCTTTCAAGTTGTTGGCGTGAAAAACATTATGAATTTTGAGCCACGCTGGCAGTTGCAACTTGTAGGAAGCATTGCCTACCCAACTGATAATTGGGAATGACCCTTCATACTTGCACGCCAATCCTTTATGTACTTTGTGTCTAAAGAACTGGAGTGATGTTGGTTGGAGTTTCACCAACACCAAATCATCGATTTTGAACTCCTGCAGCCGCCTTCCCAAGTTTGCCCACTTCTTTATCTTTTTGGTCGCCTTCTCCAAATAAGTCCGTGCAATATCTGTATTTCGGTGTCATTCTTTTACAAAGTGATATGCTGACGGACTATTCCCTGTATAATCGATAGCCAAGGTGTGATGAGTTGATAGTTGTTGTCCTGTAATGATCTCGAAGGGGCTCTTATTGGATGCAAAACTCCGCTGCAAGTTATAGGAAAATTGGGCTATGTCCAACAGCTTCACCCAATCTCGTTGGTTGGCACTCACATAGTGCCGAAGATATTGCTCAAGGAGCGAGTTTATTCTTTCAATTTAGTCATCCGTCTAGGGGCGGAGGCTTATGGAGAAGTACAACTTAGACCCTAGCAATTTGAAGAGCTCGGTCCAAAATCGTCCCAAGAACTTAGCATCTCGATCACTGATGCTATTGTGTGGGACTCTCCAATACTTCACCACATTCTTCATCATCAACTTGGTCGCCTCCTCTGCTGAACAATGTAGGGGTGCAGCAATGAATGTTGCATACTTCGAAAACCGATCGACCACCACGAGTATCGACCCAAGTCCCCCTACTGTCGGCAAGCTTGATATGAAGTCCAAGGAAATGCTCTCCCACGGCCTTTCTGGTACGGGCAACGACTCCAAAAGTCCTACTGTCTTCTGCTGCTCCACCTTATCTTGTTAGTAAGCAAGGCACGTTCAAACATATTCCTCCACATCAGTCCCCATCTTTGGCCAATAAAAGACCCTCTCCACAAGAGCTAATATCAGTGGATGCCTGGATGTCCAGCCCAAAGGGAATCGTGACACTCTCTCAAGAGTCCATGCCTCAAATTGTACACTTGAGGAACATAAACTCTATTCCCTTTTGCGTAAACGAGTCCATCCTGAACCCAAAATTATCGTGTCTTGCCTTCTTTGATTAGTTGTATCAGGGTTACTGCTTAAGGATCATTGTGCAGTCCATCCCTGATTCTGGAAAGGAAGTTGGAGTGCAACTGACTTGTTTGGCCTCTGCCCTCCAACTGTATGGCATTCACCATCTCTACTTTCCGACTCAATGCATCGGCCACGACATTTGCTCTTCCTGGCTTGTACTTCGTTGCTATGTCAAACTCAACTAGGAAGTCCTGCCATCGTCCTTGTTTTGGGGATAGTTTCTTTTGAGTTTAAAAGTAACTCAAAGCGATGTTGTTCGTCCTCAGCACAATTCGCGATCCAAGAAGGTAGTGCCGCCAAACTCGTAGATAGTGGACCACCACTGTCATCTCCTTCTCGTGCATCAGATACCTCCGCTCGGTCTTGTTGAGCTTGCAACTCCCATAGGCCACCGGGTGACCCTTCTGCATTAGTACTCCCCTAATAGTGAAGTATGAAGCATTTGTATAGACTTCGAAGAGCTTCTCATAGTTCGGCAATTTGAGTACCGGTTCTTCCAACACAGTAGCCTTTAGATCTTGGAATGCCACTTTACATTTGTCGAACCATCACCAAGGCTGCTCCTTCAGCAACTCCGTCAGTGGAGCTGCAAGCTTCGAAAACCCAGCTATGAAGCGCCAATAGTAGTTGACAAAACCAACGAAGGATCTCAGCTCTAACACCGTCTTTGGAGTTCGTCATTCCACCACAACTTGCACCTTTGATTTGTCCATCCAAATAAAACTGTCACCGATTTGATGCCCCAAGAATAAGATATCTGTCTGAGCAAATTAGTATTTCTCCCTTTTCATGAACAAAGTGTTCTCCCTAAGAACCTTGAAAATTGTCCGAAGGTGCTTAATGTGCTCCTCGAGTGTTTGGCTTTAGACGACGACATCATCCAAGTAGACGACCATAAACTTGTCCAAATACTCTTTGAATAGTTGGTTCATAAGAGTGCAGAATGTGGCTGGAGCGTTGGTTAATCCAAAAGGCATCACCAAGAACTCAAACGCTCCATACATGGTCACACAGGTAATCTTCACTTCGTTGCCTTCCGCAGTGTGCACCTACCAGTACCCCGACCGAAGGTCGAGTTTGAAGAAATACTTTACTTTGCCCAGTTGATCGAACAAGTCCACGATAAGCGGGATGAGATACTTGTTCTTCACTATCACCTTGTTGAGGGCCCTATAGTTGACGCATAGTCAGAGGCTCCCATCTGGTTTCTTTTAGAAGTGAACTGGAGCTTCGAATGATGCTTTAGAACTGCGAATGAGACTATTGCTTAGCAGTTCGTCTACTGCTTTTTGAGCTCCGCCAATTCTGGAGGGGACATACGGTATGGTGGTATCATTGGAGGCTTCAATCCTGACTCCGACTTAATATATGATGATCCACGCCTCTACGTGGCGATAGAGTTTTCGGCAACTCGGGTGGCATAACATCTGTGAACTCCTTCAGAACGTTCGCCATCACAGCAGGTTCATGAATGGCCTCCTCGTTGAGTGGCACTAACTTCACAACAACCACGAAGGTTAATTCTCCTTTTCGTACCCTTTTCTTCAATTGTAATGTCGATATCTGTTGGGGTTCCTTGGTTCCTCTCTAAGAGACGGGAACCACGCAGGAGTCATCCCCTCCCATCAAACATAGGGAGTTTAGGAACGACATTGGCACCAACTTCGCTACATGCATGAACTCTATTCCGAGAATCACTTGGAAGTCGTTGAGTGGCAACGCCATCATTTTTGTGCACCCGCTCCATGTTCCGATCTTAATGGGGACTCCCTTGGCCAACCCGAAGATCCACTTGGCCTCCGAGTTCACCGGCTTCATCCGACTTGGGTTCTTCTCCAATATCAGCCCAAGTCACTTTGCTTTTCGATCGACAATAAAGTTGTGGGTAGCGCTCGTGTCCACCATTGCATGAGTTGTTTGGCCATTAAGCTTGATGTCCACGTACATCAGCTCGTTGTTCCCTACATTCTGTGACTTTGACTTCATGTCCTCCCCCACTTGACCCTGCAACGTATTTAACAAACGCATTACTCCCATCTGGGGTCCTTGCGACTCCTCGTCATTGCTGCTGGATTCCGAACTACTCGAACTAAGAGCAACGACCTTACCCTTGTCTGATTTGGGGGGGTAGATTGAAGTTGTTAAGGCATTGAGTGCTTGTTTCTGTGGACACTCCCTCATCATATGTGGTCCTCCGCAGAAGAAGCATTCGCCAGGTTTTAGGGCCTTGCTTTTTTAGCTTGGCCCTTTGTGGGAACTCTTCTTTCTTTGTTTGCCCTCGGACTCCTTCCCTCAAAAACATTTCAATGGGCGATTTCCTGAATATTGTTTCTTTTTCCCCAAGTCCTCTTAGGAAACAAAGTCAGTGAGCCTTTTCACGGCTACAATTGCCCTGATCACATCGGCGACATTCCTTCGATACAGTTCCAATTGTGCCATAACCTCAGGCCATCAAGGAAGCTGAATAGCTTATCCTTTTCGAACATATCTTGTATGTCCAGCTTCACTGTGGAAAATTGTTTCATGTAATCCCGAATGGAAGTACTTTGGTGGAGTTGTCTCAGCTTCCTTCTTACGACGAAGTTTGTGTTCTTGGGTAGGAACTGAGTTCTCAACTCCCGCTTCAAGTCCTCCATGTGTCCACTCGACACCGACCTTGTTGGATCTCCTCCTAACGGATTCGCCATTAAAGTTTTGCATCCTCATTTATATACATAGTTGCTATTGAAACTTTAGTATCTTCAGAATCGGACCTTGTAGCTCGAAAGTACTGTTCCATGTCAAATAAGAAATTCTCGAGCTCCTTTGCGTCCCTAGCACCTCCATAGCAATGGGGCTCAGGTGCCCTCAAATTTTGTGGTGGCGCAACGCGGGTGTTGCTCTCTCCCGCATTTAGTGCCCTTATGAGTGTTGTCACTTTGGAAGTGAGTTCCACCATGACTTCGTGCAGATGTTGCATGGAGTCTTTGGTGTCTTCCGTCAGTCGATCGACTAGGGACTCGACCTTATCGATTCGAGATTCCACTTCTTCTTGCGAGCTCTCTACCGCAAGAAGCCTTCTTTAGCCTTGGTAGAGTTCCTCCAAGCTCACTTCAAGAACATCCAAGCGGGTTTCCGCAATTGTGAGTCTCTCCTTGTGGCTCTTCTTCCCCGTTGGCGCTCCAGGTTGCACCTCCTTCGCTTGCAAAGAGTAGCCAACTTCTCGCTCGTTATATTCACTAACACGCTTCTCCTGAGTGGCTCCAACAGCATGAGAGCGCGTTTGCACTTGCAGCCCACCTGCGGCTATTTGGGGCAATGGTCCGGTTTGCCCCGTCTTGCTCAATTCGCCACGATGCTTTGCCATGGTGAGATTACGAAGTTTTTTTGTTGCTTGCTCGCTTTAATACCACAATGTCATTGACTTAGTTGGAATTGCTTAAGTCGTAAAGCACCCTCGCGGTAAAGTCACGGATTTAGCTGAAGTTACTTAAGTCGCGAAGTACCCATGCGCCAACTTCTCGGACTTAGCTGGGATTGCCTAAGTCATGAGGCACCTGTGCGACATATGTATCCACAAAGGGTCAGCCTAGTTGCAACCTCGTACAGGTCCCGAAGGATCTGTAAAACAGAAAGTTGATTAGTTTGAAAATGAGCGATAGACAAGTCTCGACGTTTCGCGAAGAGGGAAGTTTTACAAGCAATTCAGCAAGCACCTTGAGTGCAAGAGAGAAAAGAGAAGAAGGAGAAAACAAGGACTTTAGAAGGTTGAACGAATAGTTGCAAGTCCATAAACAACTACTTACTGGGTGTCGGGCGCGAAGGCAAGTTCCCGTCAAGTTAACGTGCGAACTTGTGAAGATTGTTCAACGCCCAACACTATCTCGAAGCCCCATCCTGCCAGGTGCCACCAGGGAGGTTCCAGGGTGTTGGGATGGCTGACATTTCGCGTGAGGTTGCGGTCTGCAAAAAATAGGTCGTGGCATATGAAAACATAGCCATTTTAGGGCAGTTTGGCCCGATGCGACGAGCGGTCACACTACAGTGCTGTGAACTATCATTGCTTATATTTTTCAAGCAATAATACATAAAACCAAGGTAAAACATGCTGTCATATATCTATACAAGTATGTAAAAGCAACGAATGGTTCATTGAACGAAATTGTTGCGAGTGCGCGATGACCATTCGTGACAGAACGATGTCAAGTGGGGTTGGGCACTGGGGAAGTAAAAGAAAAAGAAAAAAAGGGGTGAAATCGGTAATATTGGGACTGTAAATAGCAAAATAATATTTCAGGGGATTGGCAATGGTAAAAAGGGACTATGAACAGTAATCTTCTATTTTTTACTCTAGATACCTTTTATTACTTTCAAATGATTGGAGAGAAAAAAGTTATCTAACAGAATATATTAAAGGAAAATTATAGGCCTGTTTTGAAAAAATAAATTTATGAGACAAAGGCAGGTCACGAGTTTATTGGTCTTGAACAAACTCATTCTCCATGTCCTCTCCACTGAGTTGGGAGAGAGAAAAGATTTACCTGAATTTCACTTGCATACCACAGTTGAGAATATGCAATGCCAGCTCTAGCAAGAACTGTATCAACAGATAACAACAAATGAAGCTTGGTGGAATGCAATGTCGGATTGTGCATCAGACTAGATAACAAGTGATGGTGACAAATGGATAGGTCTTATTCCCTCATCCTGCATGAGCTTGCATCTTTTGAAGGTACCCATCAGCCAGGGATAAGAGGAAGGAAAGTTAGGAAGGGGGATTCGGGACATACAGGCTCAGGGAAAACATCCATACCTGAAAACAACTTTTTCTGGAATCAGCTTCTGGGGGCTTCTTTCTAAAAGGATGATGATTCTGCTCATATTTCTGATTTGACTCCTGTCCTGACTTGAAGAGAATATTGCATGTCCATCACTAGTTTCTTTCAAGTCATCCTCTGCATCTGCAGCTATCCTACTTTAGATTTTGGTTTTGTATGGACAACAATATAGCAAGTCAATCCCTTCTGCATCATCATCCCATTTGTTCAAGGAGATAGTAGCAGATGCAAGCATTTTTTCCATTTAAATTTCCACAGAAAGGGGTGTGCCTGGGGTGACTGCGAAACCCTGCAGCAACTGCTGCTTACATGGTTCATACCATCCCTACCATTTCCACTCTCCTAAGAGTTCAAGAAAACATAAATGTAATTGCCTTGTGCTCACTGATAGCCTTTGTTAACTCTTTAAAAGCTGCCAGATTTGAGGAAGAACTTCATTGACTGTAGCAACTTGTTTTGTCCAATGTTGTCCTATATCATCCTGGTATTAGCAGTGATCAAGATCAGCAACCACCTCTCAGAATCAGCTGCTATTGACCAAGACTGTGTCCTGAAAGATCAATAGAGTTTGAGGTTAGCTTGAGCCAATTTTGACGCAAATCGCCTTAGTTGGATTAGGATCAGCCACATATTCAAGCTTACTGCTAAAATATAGCGAAATTAGCAGGTCAGACGATCATTCATGTTCCTTGTTCAATTTGTGGTGAATTAACAGATAAATGCATTAGAGCATAAAGTTCCCGCATAGAAAACCTCAAATATGTTCCTTTACCTGCAAATGAAATCCCATAAGAAGAATAGCATTACTACACTTTACATTTCAAAAAAATTCAAGAAAAAGGACAAGTATAAACAGTTTGATAAAATACATGCTCAAGGCAGCAGGACATACATACATCATCAGCAACCAGAACTCTCAAATTAAAAGGTTACAATTCCATTATTCTAGATAAACTTGAATGATTCATCCCACCTAGCAAGAAAAATTTCTGAGCCAGGTCATGTTTGTTTCTGACCAAATAGCAATTAGACTAATAGCTAAAAGTCACTGAAGAAACTCAAAAGAAATTGCATGACGGCGGCTGTCCATTCTCATCACCTCAAAGGATGTAATTTCAATCAAAATTGTTATTTTATCAAAACCACAGTATTATGCATATAGGATAGAGATGGTACAACCTAAAGATATAATTGAATGAGATCGCAATACCATTTCCCGACATTGAACGAATGGTCCAGGGCACCAAAATAGAACCTTTCGAGAAACCAGTTGTTCGTGCAAGAATTCGGCTCTAGTTTCTCGAGAATTCAAACCCTACTTCTTCCTTAATCTCCGCGAGGTCGATGGACAACTTCTCCGCGACCCGATCTTCGTCCGTCCTTTGGACATCGATCAATGTAACCTTGCTGCACAAGTCTTTCCACCAGCTCTATCTACTCCGGACAGAGGCGAGCAAGTGGGAGATGAAGCAGAGAAGGTGGGGTTTTGACGAGGGGGAGCAGCGGAGAGGGCGTAAGGTCCGCAGTGTTAAGGTGATCTTACCCCCTGCCACGAGGAGGTTGAACTACCCCCAAAAAAATTAATTTTAAGGAAAATCGTCCAACTCTACGGAGACTTAGTCTCATTCGCGGTGACCATACTCTGACGGTTAACTGCGGTGCATGGACCGTCGCGTCATCTTACCTCGAGCCGCTTGTTCGATCAAATGCTATAAGAAAAATTAAACGATCATAAAATCATTCCTTCGCGGTGATCAGACTCAAGGGACTATTGCGATATAGGAACCGCTTCGTAAGCTTACCTTCGGTCATTTCGGGGATAAAATACCTTCGAAAAAAATAAATCGTCCTAAAATCATCCCGCTGCGGGTTGCTTACTATTACTCGCAGTGACCGGATCAAAGACGTATGGACCAAACCGAGGGCCGTTGATGGGCCGTGTTAGCTTCGTTCTCTCCAACTTAAAGCCTTTCTAAGAGCTCTTTTCTCCACCTTAGCAAGCTTCATCCACCATTCGGTCCAACTCTTGCACAAATGATTCATATCAAACTCAAATCATGATCCATTCCAGTCTCAAACCGCAACCGAACCCGTCACTATTAATGAACGGATGCAACATGACCGACTCGAAGCCCAGTCAATCAATTACAAGACTTTATTATGACATCCTACCTTTTCCTTCTTTTTATCTAATTACTAATAATAATAATAATAACATATTATCGCCTGTAATTTATCGCGTACAATGCGCGTGCTAGTGAATCATCTCCATTAATGGTTCCTAAAAATAGTCGTCTCCCAATTGTGTACGTACCGTTCGCACCCACCCGACACCCCGCAAAACGACGTGAGCCCACATGCGGGGTACGGGTGGTCCCCAAGAGGTGCACGCGGAGGCAATTACGGGGATCGGTGCTTTGGGGCAATAAAGATATACCATTATCCAAAATGGCTGTAATCTCTGCACCTAAATAAAGCGATCTGCGTTTCGGAAATAACGCTACGCCTACCGCCACATTCTTCCCGATATAAATGACACCCACCGCCTTCCTTCAACCTATTCTGTCTTCCTAGAGGTCGAAATCTTGGAATCTGGGAAGAAGAGGAGGAGGAGTTTGGAGCTACGATCGATCGGTCATGGCGGCGTATAGGACGATGGAGGTGACGATGATATCCGCCAATGATCTCAATGACGTCAACATCTTCTCCAAGATGGACGTGTACGCCGTCGTCTCCATCGCTGGCGAGCCTCGATCCTCGCAGCGCACCCCGACAGACAAGAATTGCGGCAAGAACCCCTCCTGGAACGTCACCCTCCGTTTCTCCGTCCCCGCCGATCCTGATGCCGCCGCCCGCCTAGTCCTCCACGTCCTCCTCCGATCCGAGCGCGCCCTCGGCGACCGCGACGTCGGTGAGGTCCACGTCCCCGTCAAGGAGCTCCAGCCCCCTTCCTCGTCGTCTGCGCCGCAGTTCGTGAGCTATCAGGTCCGTAAACCCTCCTCCGGCAAGCCTAAGGGCGTCCTCAATCTCTCCTTCAGGTTCCTCGATTCCCCCGCTGCCGACCACGCGGCCGCGGCGCCGACCGTCGCGTACCCGCCTGCAGGCTTTCCCGCCCCGGGAGCTGAATCCAAGCCCGCCGATTCCGTCACGGCGTACCCTCCGCCGGGAAATGACTCAAAAGTCGGGGAGCCCGTCACGGCCTACCCCTACCCGGGGACCAGCAACTCCACGCTTCCTCCGCCAGCTAAAGACTCGAAGACCGGGGAGCCTGCAACCGCCTACCCACCACCGGGCCCGTCTGGTCCCTACCCGCCACCGGGGGGCTACCCTCCCTACCCCCCGCCCCAGCAGTATGGATACGCGCCTCCTCCGGCCGGATACGGGTACCCACCGCCGCAGTACGGCTACGCGCCTCCTCCGGGGGGTTACGGGTACCCACCCCCGCCGGCCGGGTACGGGTACAGCGCGGTACCCCCGGCGAAGCCGCCGAAGAAGAACAAGTTCGGAGCAGGGCTGGGCGCGGGGCTCCTGGGCGGCGCCCTCGGCGGCCTTCTCATCGGGGATATGGTGTCGGACGCGGCGGCGTACGACTCGGGATACGATGCGGGCTTCGACGACGGCGGCGGTTTCGACTTCTAAGCCTTCTTCTCTGAGCGTCGATAGATATGGCATCGCGTTCTACGTCTGATGCTCGTCTTCGGGTTGTTTTTGGTGATAGTTTGAAGTGTTCTCGTTAATAAAGGGGCGCGGTGGGTGGACCAACTTAGTGTCGTGGTGGATCGGTCCATCTTTGTCTTGTATAATACTTGATCGCTACTATTCCTGGCCTCGATCGATTTGATTGATTCATTGGGTTTATTTTTGGATTGGTCATGAGCTCTTACTCGAACAAAGGGCATAATTTGGGACATGATTTGATCAATTTTGATATTCGAGACATGGCTCATGGAAAGGTATCAATTTGTTCGAGTTCTTCCAACACTAAAATAATAGGAGAGATTTGGCTTTCGTTTTGTCCAACCAAATTATATGATCATACATTTGGAAGGGAAGCTTATGTTTACATGCCCAGACTGCTCATGTGGACATTTCGAAGCATCGATGCATACAGATATGTAAACATTAGCTCTCTCCTTAAGATTCATACAGATATGTATACCTCCTTCACCCAAGTCGTCCTCAGAAGGATCATACCTCCTTCACCCAATTCTTAGGAAAGAGTTGTTGGCTTTCGTTTGTCCAACCAAATTATATGATCATACATTTATTTGGAAGGGAAGCTTATGTTTATACGAGCCCAAACTGCTCATGTGGACATTGGGAAGCATATAGATATGTAAACATGAGCCCTCTCGTTAAGATGCCATGATTGATTGCTGTTTCCCCTTCAAATAATCCTAAGAATATGAGATGCATTGAAGCAGGTCTTATTTGTCAGAGAGGTTTTTGATATGTATACCTCCTTCACCCAAGTCGTCTTCAGTAAGGATCGAGGTCATCTCATGAATGAGGAAATATCCATCACTTCTTATCCGGAAGCTTTTCTATCAACTCCGGGATTACCTCAAACAGATCTGCGACCAGTCCATAATCTGCGACCTGCAAAGAATCACAAGAAATGAAATAAGACTCATGTGGACCTGCAGAAGATAGTCATTATCAACTTCAGATGATATTTGTTTCCCTCTACAAATGATATTTGCCAAATAAAGATTTGTTCATTTTCATCATTATCAACTTCAGATAATTACTGGATAAAAGTTAACCAGCCTAACAATTTTTCTCGTTTTTGCTACTCAACATAACCATGGTTGCTTGGTAATTAAGCTACTTCAGCTCCAGCTTAAGAAAAAGGAAGAACTTGTCCATCAAACGTGAACTAATTTTAAAATTTTTGCTGCATGTTATAGACCAAATCTTGAAATACCAATGTTCTTGGTAACCAATTAATTGACTGCTAAGATACAGGAGGGGTTTATGAAACTTGGTATGATTAAAATAAAAAATAAAAAAAGAATGATATAAAGCGATAAGTACCAGTCAGTCTGACTGGTATTTATTATCTTGTGAAAAACAAAGGATGACAAGTGTGACGAATTTCTAGAACGTTACTAGATTAAACTCGGCAAAAGTTTGTGAGCATTCTAATGCACATCAAGTAAAGAGAGTAAAAGAACAAGCCTAAACTTTGGAAACAGCAAAACTCCGTAATTCTTTACATTCCATGCACCAATCACATCCTTAATATGTCATCCATAAACATGAACCAATCTGTACGCTATACAGTGATAGAAGATCTAAAGGGACAGAACACGAAGAGATGATCTGGCTTAGGTCATCTAGGCAAAAGCATATAATTAATATAACTTCCTTAAAGCAACTTAGTGGTACTATTCAGTTCACAAATGCCTAGGAGTTTGTACACCCTCAAGAAAAGATTGTGCTGGATAACTAAGGCAGAACTTAGGACATCTGATCCAACAGATTAATTAGTCCACAAGACATTGCTAAAGAATTGGATCAGAAAAGCAAAAAAATATTTAATATGCAAGGTATAGAAATCTAAGACAGGAAAAGATTTTGGGACATAAAGCATAGAAATAGAGGAAGCATTTTATATCAATACAAATTTAGACCACAATCATGACAAACTAGTAAGAGCTAAGCATACACTCCAGCAATTAAGTTAGAACTAAAGCTGTTTGTGAGTGACAAGTTACATAAAACAAACCTTTGGACCAAATCTGGTCTTATCACAATGGTTAGAACTCCATGAATTATGTTGAACTAATTCAAAAAAACAGGCAAGCTTTTTGAGGCTTTATCAGAGAAACTATTCGGTTAATAACACCTCAAAAGGCTTGCTCATTTGCAACACTATATCACCAATAAATTCTAAGAATATTCAGTATAATATATAGGTAACAACCATGCCTCTTAATCTAAATGAAAGGCTTAATAAAAATGAAAGGCTTAATAAAGACCATCACCTGAAAAATGGGTGCATCTGCATCTTTATTTATAGCTACAATGACCTTTGAATCTCTCATTCCAGCCAAGTGTTGGATGGCACCAGAAACCCCAAAAGCCATATACAGCTCTGGAGCAACAATTTTTCCAGTCTGACCAACCTGAGAGAAAATTGATGTATGAGTAGGCCAGTTCTTACCATTATCCAAACTCATCCATACAAAAATGATTAAGACTAAAAAAACAAACATAGAAACACTCAATGATGAAGCAGTGACTTCTGGTAGAGTACCAATTAACTATTAGCAGTCTTGTGTACTTAACAAAAGAGGAACCATCTTTGCAGATTGTTGGCCACTATATGTTAGCAAAGAAAAAATGGAACAACTAGAAGAACATCTATATTATAAACACAAGGCACAAGCAGTGAGCATTAGATGAAGGAAATAGGACAAAAATGTAACAGTTTCGCACAAGTTTAATATGACCAAGTTGTTATTCAAGTGTTACCTGGAGGTCATTTGGCACAAATCCTGCATCCACAGCAGCCCGAGTGGCACCGACTATATAAAATAAGATAATGATAATGATGAGTATTACAAATTTAAATAAAAAAGTAAAATACCTAAAAGCACATATGCCTTCTTAAATTGCTGAAGCACTGCAGAAGGGACTTTAACACAGCATGTTTAATATTAATGTAGGCTGCAAATATTCATTTAGGCAACTCAGCACTTTTATCGAATATATGTTTGATTATGGAAACAGATGTGAAGTACAATATTAGGTTGGAAACAGATGCAAAGTACAACATATGTCTGATTTAACAATTTGCAATTAGATGCAAGTAAACAAATATGTTAGAAAATAACCCACTGAAGAGCTATTCTAATTTGTACTTTCATAGAAGAAACCATAAATGCAACAGGAAAGAGAATAGGTTTACTGAGGGTTATCTAATCCAATGTAATACACAGCGAGGTAGCTTAATTTGAACAAAAGGACTTGAACTCCTGTTCAAACAAAGTTAATAAATTTGTATTAGTTCTATGAATGGGTATGGATCTTCTTGGGTTTCCATATTAATAATGGGACAACCACATCAAAATTCTCTTTCTAATCACTAGTAAAATCAAAATTTACACATAAGAGACGACATTCATCAATGATAAACTACAAAGAGTAAAAACTATTCAGTAGTGCAATTATTAATTGTGCTCTGATTATAATTAAAGCCATCATGCAGGCAAGAAGAAGGGTATGCCATATACCCCATGATAAGCAAAACAATTTCAAACATGCTTTAAAAATTTTAATTATATTCAACATGTATACATCATGAGATGCATGTTGATGATGCTAGAACAGAAAAAGTATACTCTTTTCAGTCATTTTATATGCAAGATGAGGCTCAGTGTCTACCTGCTGCACCAAGCTTCTCGGCAAGCTTCTCCAATAATTTAAAGTTCTCAGCGCTTTTTAACCCACGCCCTCCAGTGACAACAACACGTGCATTTCCTAGATCGGGTCGCTCTGATTCCTGAGATACAAGCTTCAGCCACCTAGATTTGGGTACGGAACCTGCCAATGGAAAAAAAAAAGGAAAAGAAAATGTTCAGTCCAACACTTAGCAAGTTCCATCAGTTAAATATATGAGATAAAGATGGTGGCCCAGTGACAAGACTCCCACCAATACATGTGGTCTTATCCCTATAAGAGAGATTGTTTTTGTAACTTGGATCACCCAGGTTGCAATGGCGCAGTCTTACTAATGATGCCAACACTCACCAATAATAAAAAGCTCCACATGCTGTATTCAGATAATATATGTAAGAAATAAAAGGTAAGGGCTATACGAACCTTCATCAAAGGTTGAGAGATCAACTTGGGAGATTGGTGCTTCAACAGACTTTGTCTCAGTTGAGCAAGAAGGCAGGGTGAATGATGTGGACCTAATGGTCATCATACAAGGGCCCTTACCAGCATAACGAACGGTGCAAAGAGCATTACCTGCATATATTGGCCTACAAAAAACATTTAGATATCCTTAAAATCCAATGCTAATAAAAGGGTACAGAGTCAAAAAAAGCAACATAAGCTCCAAGAAACATTAAGGTAAACCTACAATGCGTATGCCTATGCTTGTAAATTGGTAAACAAATTGCAGAAGAAATGATAGAATTAACTGACAGGTTGTTTTTCCTAGGCATACTGATCAGTATGAGATGGTATTATCAATCCGATCATAAAAAAGTATACATACCATTGTTTTTGCCTGGTTTTGGTTCATACCAAGCCTACCATCCCATGTTACCTTATAAATGTACCGCCCGCCCGTAATAACAATGTCAATTTTTTATTATTTCTTGACAATTATGAGAAGTTGTCTTTTTTTTTTTTTTTTTTTCATTCTCTTCTCTCTCATGCTCTCTCTCTCTCCCTCTCTTTCATGCACGCTCTCTCTCCACTCCTCCCCACCACATCATCATCACCTCTTCCATCTTGACAATCACAATACCACCAGTATGCCTCCTGTTCGGCCTTCTCTTCCTCTGTCACCACCTCCTGCTCTTCTAACTCTTTCTTACAAGTCCAGATGGTACTGAGTACTGACCCATCCAGAGTGCCAGAACCATACCAGTACCATACAGGTCCAATGCGAAGCAGTATTGGAGTCAGACCAAAAATTTTCAACATGGCTCAGTTCAACCTTTAACTACCACATAACCTAACTCAATCTACTTTAATATAGAAAAATGTCAAAATACCTTATAAACAAGTGTGGCTCAGCTATTTCAACTACATCTGTAACAGGTGAAACATCAAGAAGAGCTGCCGCACGTGGTAGCACATTTTTGCCAAATGAATTTGAAGTGGTAATTATATGTGAATAATTACCCTGATGCTGAACAAAATTAACAAGTTCAGCCCAAGTTTCAGCCAAAGGATGCACTAATATGTCTGCATCAGCAACGAGAACCTGTAGAAGAATTGGCAAATAGATCCACCATTACTAGTACCAAAAAATGTTCATATAATCAAGACTGAGACATGAAAATTGTAGCATCCTTCACTGAAAGAATAAAGCCACTTGAAGATTATTACAGTCATAGAATCTCTTTTGAAAAACCTAACATCATGGAAACATTTTATTTCTTAAACTTCATGAATAATAATTAAAAATATGTGTTTCTTATTGTAATTTTCAATTATTTAAATAGTAATATTTTAGAAATAAGCTACAAAAACTTTAAAACTATGGATCAGAATAATAATGTCAGTGCCAATATATAACTCAAAACCTAAAATAAGTAAAAAAAAAACAGAAAGCATGATCAGTTATTACCAATAACATGAAATCAAAGATAAAAGTATTAATTAATAATTCGTATTCATTGCTACTCAATAATACCAAGAAAGCTTCTACCACGGGCAACCTCACTGTTAGCAATACTTAAAAGATGTATTCTCTGCCTCGCAGAAGATTATTGTTTCTTTCCTATTGTGTTAATTAACAATTATTTGGGATAATCTCCATCTAGTGCCTAACTATCAGTTCATCTCCATTTTTTTCATGAAGGAATTTTTATTTAATGGAAGAACAAAATCATAATCCAGTAGTGGCAAGAACCGAAACACCTAATTCCATCTTGTATTAACAGTACAAATTAATATCTGATTGGCATTAATACAATTCAACAACACTTGGAGGGTACATAGAGCAATGCAATATTGGCAATGTGAAACCTTGACCTTGAGTATATTGCTTTTTAGAAAACTATAATGTTTGTCCATTAAAGTTATCCTTTTGCAGACATTTAATTTTAGCATTTAACATTTTCTTAACACCGAGGCCTAAAGAAATATATATATATATATATATATATATATATATATATATATATATATATATATATATATATATATATATATATATATATATTATTAACAGGCAAAGCATAAAAACCATGTTGAATCAGAAAACTTTTATATTACTAAAACATGGTACCTGTGACACTGAAGGATGACATGATGCAGCATGGGATGCAGCTTTGCGGAGGGCCAGACCAGATCCACCCAAGAGAACTGTGACTGATTTTTCTTTGTTAACAACTGCAGCAGCGGCTATCGCACTCAAAGATGATTGTTTTACCAATCCACCTTCATGTTCAGCTAAAACCAATGTGCTTACCTTAGAAAAATCAGAGTATCATCAAAACAACAAGAACATCTCATGCATTAAGCAAGCAATCAAGGTACTCATGAGCCATGATCACACAGAATATGATGGAACCAAAAAAGAAAATGGAAATATGACTGACTGGCTATAGTGTAACAATGGTAAGCCAAGTAATGACTAATCTGAAATACAAAAATGAAGAACAAGGGCTGTGATTTATCGACACAATTCATGCAACCAGAATACTGCTTAGGGAAATGCAAATGGCTTTGGCATGTAGAAGCAGCAATACTTGTTTTGACAAGTCACAAAGGATGAAAAAAAGGAAACTTCACATCTCTGTTAAATGGGGCAGAGATTGGATTTGCAGTTACAGGGCAGCACTATTCTTAATAAATGCTAGTCAAACAAACAACAGTAGGATGCTCTATAAAATAAATAAAAATAACTCAGAATCTTGTGGCCAACACTTAAGCATCATGTGGTCGACACCTCGGTTGCATGACTGACACCTCATTGCCATGTAGCTCGCACAACTTCACCCTTCGGACATTACAACCACACTCACGACTGCACCATGTCCTACAAATTCGACATAGCACGATTACACCCAACAATGGAAGAGATGCATAATTGCTCCTGGTATTAAACCACGTCCCTGAGCACAACGATCCAAACCCTCACTAGAAAATTGTTCCTTAGGTATATTCTCTAAGAGACTCATTCTCTAATGCATTTGACTCTTAAAGACTCAGCATTCAACCAATACCACCGACTCGGAGCTAACTTAACCTTCAAAAGAGCTTTGTCAAGCATGCTCCGACATAATTTTTCAGGGTTTGATGCATCTCGAATCAAGCGGACTTGGAATTTCACAACACCACGCCAAGACAGACACGAAAAAGGAGCATCCTAATTAGACAACTTAACAACACTAAGATAAAGAGAATTAATTTTCATAGCAAGCATTATGGTAAAATTGAACTTTCCCAAACATAGGGGAGTTTCATGCAACAGGTAGCCATTTATGAAGACATTGAATAATTTACAGCAATATCTCACACTAAAAATATATTGAAACGGAGTCATAACCAAAAAAAGAAACTGTGGAGGTCATGATTTATATACAGCAGAGATATTGATGTAAAATTAAGTGAAAACCATCGAGAGGAAAAAAAGATTTCAGGCACAAAATCTACAACAGAAAGCAGTAGTTCAAAATATTCAGGGTCAGGCACATTAATCCTTTTCCACCACTGAGTTATATTGAGACAAATATCACTAGTAAAAATTAAGGATCATTAGATCCCCTTTATTGTTTCTAATAAAGTTTCCTTGGGCCTTATTCTACCACCTCCATACTAACAATCTGAATTAACTCACCTCATGGTGCAATTGTACATCTTAATCAGTGTAATCTTCTCATACAACATCAAAAAATAACAAATCAGAGGACTGTTCCACCAGGAAAGACATATCTGTAGACAGGAGTACTTTTAGTCGCTTAAATTATATTTTAGGGTTTCAAAATATGATTCAATCTAATAACAACTCACTAATGGTACTGTCCAGCAAAGCAATCATGTTTAAACTGAAAATGTAATTTTTCCTAGAAATACAAAGTAAAGTCATGCTCCAGAGCGTATTCCTTACTAACTCAAGAAAATCCTCATCTCACCACTCCATACATTGCGAAAGACCTTCTTGAATTCCTATTATTTAACAACATGATGCAATTTAACTCAAAACCTCGATGCATGACCACACTACTATAGAGTATTTAACCAATTGATCCCATTTGTATTATAGAATCATAAGAGAGAAGCAGCAGAATCGTTGCACTTGAAAACCCTAACTCAATCGAAGCAAGTGTCTCTGATCCGTACCAACACTTGTGGAGACGGAAACAGAAAGGCAAGAAACTGGATAAAGAATCGGGACTAAACGAATCCCAGATGACATCGGAACCCGGAAGAGGAGGCTTACGAAACGAGAAAGCGAGCCGCGGATGGGAGGAGATGCAGATGAAGGTGGAGACGGCGAGAGGGCGGAGAATGGGCGGCGATTCCTGAGGAGACACCTCTTGAGCATCGCAACGGCCGCCATCGTCGTCGTCTCGTCGATCGCCGATGCACAGGCGAGGCCTTCTCCCCGGATTAATACAAAGCAAATTTGCACTTGATACTCATGCCACGTTTTGCTGACGCGGACATCTTAATTTTAAACGCATATAAAGAATAGTACCCCTCTGAATATATAGATGCAAGGACTTTCTGACTAATTACATACCACATATAATTTGAACTTATAAAAATAAAATATTTAATCTTATTTACTCTAATATCCTCGACTTTATCAAGAAAAGATATAATAGATGATAATACATATATAAATGATATAAAAAATAATAAATAAAAAAATTTATTTTAATTATTATAACAAACGATAGTGTTGTGGATGATTATTGTGATGGTAGTCAACGAGAACGATACACTACTTAGCTTTATCGATGTCAATCCGACGAGGAGGAGAAAGCGAAGACAGAGTGGTGAAGTATTTATGTTAGCATCGGAAGAGAAAGAGGAGGGAGGTGAGACATTTGCATCAATATCGCGCTCTTCCTCCTTTGACATTACTTGGCATCTGCGTCAAGAGGAAACATGTGAGGAGGTATGTGAGGTAGAGCAATGTGATGTCGGAGGAGGAAGAGAATGCGAGTGAGGCATTTATGTCGGTGTCACACGTGCAAGTGAGGCATTCTCGTCGACCACCACATCATTCGATGCAGCGCCGCATTGCCTCCTCCGAGTCAACATCGTATGGCTTAACCTCCTCTTCGTTCTCGTCGACCACCGCATCATTCGATGTAGTGTCATACTACCTCCATTGCGTCAGCGTCCCCTCGCTTTGCCTCCTCTTCGTTATTGTCGACCATCGTATCATCGAAAAAGAAAGAGGAGGCAGAGTGGTATGATGCTGAAACAGATGCCTCACTTGCCACCTCTTCCTCCTCTAGTATTACATTGCTTTGCCTCTTCTTCATTCTTGCCAACAACCATATCATTTAGTGCAACACTACACAGCTTCCTTTGCATTGACACCATACTGCTTTGTCTCCTCTTCGTTCTCATCAATCATTGCATCGTCGCAAGAGGAAAAGGAGGCAGAGCAATGTGATGCTGATGTAGATGTCTCACCTACCTCCTCTTCCTCCTCTAGTATAGTACCACTCTGCCTCTTCATTCTCATCAACCACCGTATCATTGAAAGAGGAAGAGGAGGTAGAGTGTTGCGATGTTGACATAGATTCCTGACCTGTCTTCTCTTCCTCGTCCGACGCAGTACTGCTCTACCTCTTTGTTTTCGTCAATTACCACATCGTTCAATGTGGTGTTGTATCACTCTACCTCATCTTTGTTCTTGCCAACCACTATATCACTGGAAGAGAAAGAGGAGGCAAAGTGGTACAATGCCTGACGTAGATCCCTTACATCCCTCCTCTTCCTCCTCTGACACTACACCGCTTTGCCTCCTTATTTTCATCGACCACCACATTGTTTGATGCAGCATTGCACTGCCTCCTCTACAATGGTGCCATACAGCTCTGCGTCCTCTTCATTCTTACCAATCACTGCATCATCGGAAGAGGAAGAGGAAGCAGAGTGATGCAACATCAACACATATGTTTTACCTGCCTCCTCCAACGTCGACGTAGATGCCTTACTTCTTTGGCTCCTCTATGTAAGTGTTGCACCATTCTACCTCCTCTTCAATCTCACTGGCTACTACATCGTTTGGTGTGGACATTGCTTTCTTTGTATCGATGTCGCACCACTCTACCTTCTCTTCATTCTCACCGACCACTACATCATCGGAAGAGGAAGAGGAAGTAGAGCAGTGAAACGCCAACGCAAATGCCTCACCTCCCTCTTCTTCCTCCTTCGACACCACACTACTCTACATCATGTTTATTCTTGTCGGCCACCATATCGTTTGGTGCAACGCTACACTACCTCCTTTTTGTTCTCACCAACCACCACATCGTCGGAAGAGGAGGTAGAGTGATGTGGCATCAACACAAATGCCTTACCTACCTCCTCTTCCTCCTCCAACGCTGACGCAAATGCCTTACCGCTCTGCCTCCTCTACATCAGCGTCACACTGCTTTGCCTTCTCTTCGTTCTTGCTGACCATTGCATCATTCAGTGTAGCACTGCACTACATCTCTACATCGGCACCACACTACTCGGCCTCCTCTTTATTCTTGTCGACTATTATTGAAAAATCTAGAGGCAACATCACATACCCAATGGAAGAATAAAAAATAAAAATCTCAAATTTTTTTAGTAACACCCAAATCCACGCTACACCAGAAAAAGCAAGGCAAACAAAGGTAAAACCAATACGACCAACATTGCCCTCTCTCAGAGAAACCTTACTTATTACCAAGTAACATACGTGTTGAGAATCCCATTCACATTCCCATCACACGCAGGATGAGACATAGCACAACGGATAGACCCACTAGATGATGAAGGCACTAACAGCATGGACACACAATTCACGAACACCACGACACGGGAGGGCAACACTTCAGAATGAGGTTGGCTTTTGGTCAAGATGTTGCACTAGGTGGAGAGTTGACTCCTTCTGTATGTTGTAGTCCGCAAGCGTACGGCCGTCCTCGAGCTGCTTGCCTGCGAAGATGAGCCTTTGCTGGTCCGGCGGGATCCCCTCCTTGTCTTGGATCTTAGCTTTCACGTTGAATTGTTCGGTCATCTTACGTCAAGTGCTCTGCTAATACTTGATGCCAATTCCTTGTCTTCTCTGATACAGATCTTGCTTTCACGTTGTCGATGGTGTCGGAGCTTTCGACCTCGAGGGTGATGGTTTTTCCAGTGAGCGTCTTAACAAAGATCTGCATCTGTATCAGAGAAGACAAGGAGTTGGCATCAAGTATTACTGAGTCGGAGA